AGCCCAACTCTTTGATTGGCTGTCACAGCTCTGCCAGGTTGTATTGGTTGAGAGCAACCTTAGTTTAATAAAGTAAATGAAAATGATCAAGTAGCTCTATTGTTTTATCTCATTTTATTGGCAGAAGTCTCTCTCAGCAACAAAAAACTTTAATCGATGGATGCTCCCCATCATAAAAACAGATGTAGAGGCAGACTGGCTTATAAAATCTATTCACTTAGCAAATAGCCTCTCTGCCCCGACACAGATTGCAGACATTTGCATATATTCAAGAGAAGGCTTTTTCATATTTATTTAAAATATGCATATTAGAGGCAAAAAAATAATTTTGTTTCCCCAAAAATAAAAGCCATAAGTGATACAGCAATTGTATGGTAAAAGTACCATCTGCTGAAAGCTTATTTTTTTGACAACAGAAAGTGATATAAGAAATAAAAATATTTCCTTTTTTATTGAATCAATAAATAAAGAGATACATAATACCACAGACTAACATTCTGGAGAATAAAGTGACCTTCTCTTTTAAATCACAAAACTAATACGTATAATAGCATAAGACTTTCTCCTCTATCACCTTCAATTCAGTTTTCTTTATGCTGCTTTTGATCCTTAACAGGAAATGATTGTTAAGGAATATCAAAATAGGGGCAAATTTCTTTAAGCTGATGGAATTGATTACTTTGTTTACTGATATTTGTATTTATATTCAAACTGAAGTGTGAATGTAAATGATGGTATGTGTAACATTCTAAAAAAAGGATCAAATTTAAGAGCTTTGTGAATTTTCCGCTCAGGGTGGTTGGATCCCTGGTTAAGGCAATGTTTAGAAAAGCAGAAGCAGCTGAGTTTTGGCTGGCATTTTTTTTCCTTGGTCTTCTAAATCATTAGATATTGTAAAGGCCAGTGTGAGAAATATTACAAATGTTTGAGTGGGTGTTGATTCACATCTGAGCTTTAAATTCACATTCAGGCAAGTCCATAAAGCAAGTCCACACTCAAATGAACAATGATCATTTGTTTAGATTTGTGCTCCATCAAATGCACACAGCACCAAACTAATTTATCCTTTTAATTGTCCTGGGGAAGATTCTCCATCATCCAGGTCATAGTCATTCCAAAAATAGAAAAGGACTTTGTTTCCAAGTTTGAAGACATTTTGCTTCCAATCCAAGAAGCTTTTTCAGTTCAAAATGTCAGGAATAGCGTTGGGTTTGAGGTTTTTATACAGTAGAGCAACAAAGCCTTGTTTTTGTTTGAAACAAGGGGCTTTTGACTTGCAATCCCTACCCGCTATCATCGCAGCCCCAGCCCCGTACAACAAGAGAGCGGAGGACCTCACCTACTCAGCCAGGCCAACAATTCCCTTTAACAACCCCCCTTTTCATACACTTAGACGGGTATGGGGCATTGCAGGCTAACAAAAGAAGCCAAATGTCCCCCATTCCAAAAGGGTGGGCCCCTTCATCCGTTTCAATTTGCATGTTTTTTAAAACAAAAACAAGGCTTTGTTGGGCTACTATATAAAACCTCAAACTCAACTCTATTCCTGACAGTTTTTATTGAAAAAGCTTTTTCAATTTTTTTCAATTTTTTTTTTTTTGGAATATCCTTTAATTATACTTGTTTTTTATTCCAACAAAGAGGAGGGATATTTATGAACTAAAGAATACTTTCTAAACTATGGCAGGTTAAAGAATACATGTTGAAAATCCAAGCAGATGTAGATTGAATATAACAAAATATGATCCAATATGAGCTCAGTGTTTGATGTGTTAAGGTATTTCTCACAATCAATAGTTGTAAATGACACCAGCAGAAGGCCGTGCTCTAAGAAACTGTGGTGTGAACCATAACTGTGTGAGAAGAAAGAGTTAACTGCATAAAGGGGAAAGATAAACACATTACTGTTTCACTAGCTGCAGTGAGTAACATAATGAACTCCTAATCGTTGCTGAGGGTGTAATTCATCTATGAAATCAGCTGCAAATTGAGATGAGGAAAATCAGTTTCTGATCTATCTCATGTGGGGGTTTAGAAGGAGGGATATTGAGCAGAGTGTCTCAAAACGTTAGGAGTAACACATTCCTGTCTGCATTGATATTCTGTCAGGGAAAACCTTCGCTTTGGCTCCATCATGTAACTATGCGGCTGCCAAGCGGCTCGCAAGTCAAAGCAGATGAATGTATCTGTATTCTGCTCAGCTGTAGCCCTGATCAGCAGTGACTAACACAGAAGGTCAGAATGTCATCCTCTCAATCAACTCTAACTGCACACTATGTCAACTGCTTTGTTGAGAGCAGTTGTCAAAAGATGGAAAGTGTTTACCCCCCAACTCCACCCCTTTTCGCCACATTTTCTTTTTTCCCCAGGTTCTCATCATCCTTCTTCTCCACCCCCATATTCCTGTCTGCCTTTTCAGATGAAAGAAATAATACTTTATGCTAAGCCCTGTGTCAAAGTGCTAGACTAATAGCACCTCAGGTGCTTCAAATGTTGGTAGTTGACATCTGCTCCACCTCCTCCTTCACATACCTCCTTCTCGTCCTCCAGAATCATGTGTGGAGTGTTGCACAGGTCAGAGCAGTGCACAGCCATAATCCATGTAGACTCTACAGTGTTTGTAGTAACTGATTACATTTACTCAGTTACATGTACTTGAGTAACTTTTTGAAAAGAAAAATATACTTTTAGGAGTAGTTTTACAGCACTGGTCTACTACTGGTCTACTACTCCATCCATTGTCAGTAACCTCACTTAAAGGTATAGAGAACAATCTTTTATTTACGGGTGGATCATCTAAATAAGTGGTCAACTTAATTGTCAATCATTCTGGTGATATGTTTTCTTAAGGGCATCCTCCGTGCTTGCCCCATTAGCTATCTTTCTCTGTGCATGAGCACTTTCAGGCATATATCTGTGGTGAGCTACAGTTTCAGACTCTCATTGAAGCTCACCTTCCTCACTGCGGTTCTTTGAAAATGACTGAGGGTCTAAGATAAAAGGTGTCTACAAAGTGTATGAGAATAAAATAAAGGTCTCAGAAGAGGCAGATATATCTCGGAATGCTTTGTGCAGTGAGCTCTCCTCGCAAAGCATTATGGGATCTGTTGTCACAGTGGCCCGCTGTCGGGTAGCAACAGCGGTGACTAATAACAAAGATGGAGCAGGCACCGCGCAGTAAAGGAGGAGTTACAGGAAGAATGAAGCAAAAAGCACTGATCATCTGTCTGAATGGTCAGTTAACTGAGTTCGTTATAAAGTCCATTATATAGTCCCCGCTCTACATAGTCATTGACAGTTTTCTGTGTTAGAGCAGATGTTTGTATGTAAGCATGTATGAGCTATGAGAACAGCAACTTTTAAATAGATAATGCATGAGGAGAAATGGACTCGTGCATTCTCTGTCACACGCATTTTTTTTAAAGTAGAGAGGACGGGTCTTGTAAAAAAATTCATGAAAATCCTCCACAATACCTTTAATGAAAACAAGTTTGTTTAAAACAAAGAGACTCACTTTCCAACTTAAAGCTTATTGGTTAAAAGCTATTTTCCATCTGCTGAGTCTAGCATGTGATTTGGAGGTTGACTGAAAATACAGTAAACAGTATACTGTAGTACAACCTATTCTAACATACTGTAACTATTGATTTCTTTAAGTTTTATAACTTAGCAAAAATGTTTTGAAATGGTGCTTATTCCATCTAGATTTTATTGTGTAATTACTGTATATTATATGTTTGTTTTTATATTTTCTTGCATCATATTTTGTTCAATTATACATAATGCTGTAAAATATAAAATCGGATGTTAAGGTCATGGTTATTTAGCAACTCAGTTACTCAGTGCTTGAGAAGCGTTTTTACCGAACACTTTTTTACTCTTACTTAAGTAACTACTTAAAAGGCAAGTTTTTACTTTTACTTGTGATAAAATATGTTGAAATAGTGCTACTCTTACTTGATTAAAACTTCTGGGTAACCTCTACATGAAACTTGTATGGTTTCCGAGTGGATAAGTGGGTTTTCTCAAGGTAATCCAGTTTTTTTCTACAGTCTAAAGAATAATAATAAGGTTATTTGAATCTTTAAATAGGCCTTAGATATGAATGTGTGTAAGTGATTGACTAGTAACCTGTCCAGGATGTTCCCCACCTGTTGCCCAGTAAGTGCTGGAAACAGCCACTAGCACCATTTTGCAAAAAAACTGTAGGAATATACACTTGATGAATTGAACAGTGCTTTATTAGATTGTATAGCTTGACTATTGTTGTATAGCTTATCTTTGTTTTTAGGCTCCAATGTCCTCTATCCAACCCCTGAGACTCATAGAAAACAGCTGCAATAATATTAAAATGTAATAAAGTTGAAATCCTATTTATTAATTATGCAACCTCTAAAGAAATTTACTTAAAACGCATGAATAAATATGGTCAAGTCAAAAACACTCATTCCCTAGTAAGATATTGATTTAAAGTAATCCCCTAATTTTACACTTTTGTTCTTAGTCCTTAAGTCAGAATTGAAGCTGAAAATCAAAGTAATGAGATACGTACCTCCAACCCAAAGAATACTTGGACTTCACCATCAAAGATTAATGTTAACATAACAATTGAAAAATCAAATTAAATCTAAATTTGTATTTGTCAAAAATGCTTTTTTGAAAACATATATGCATTTCAAACCTTTCAGATTTAAATTTGTAAACAGTTTACAAACATTTTTATTATTTCCTTCAATTTCACATTCCTTTTCTGTTCCCAATAAAATACATTCAATTCTGCAGCAGTTATTTGAAAAAAACGTGAAAAGGTCTGAAGGGTGTCGATGTTCTTGCAAGGCACTATAAATGTGTCTGTTTTTATCTTGCTTTTCTGCCTGCTAGGATGAAAAAATAAGTGCTGAAAGAAACCTAAAGAAAATATGTAAAATAATTCAGGGAGAGATACAAAGAGAAGGTTGGTGACAGAGTAAGAGAGAGCACAACAAAAAGAAATGACTCACCTTCTCAGCTGACTGGGCTGTGCCAAAGAAAATTGGGATGAAGGCCAGCCATACTATGCAAGTAGTGTACATAGTGAATCCAATAGGTTTGGCTTCATTGAAGTCCTCTGGTACATCTCTTGTCTTGATAGCATAGATGGTGCAGGTCACCATCAGCAGGATGCTATAACCCAATGAGCAGATAATTTGCAGGTCTGTGATGTCGCACTTCAGAACTCCTCGAGCCAGCATGGGGTTTATCGTTTTTTGCTCGTCGTAGTCAACAATTGTGTTTGGTGGGTCAACGGCAAACCACACAAGCACCCCTAGAAGCTGGACAGAGATGAGGCTGGAGGTGATGGCGATCTGTGAGGTGGGGCTAATGAAGCGAGGGGCTGTGACCGTCTGCTTGCCCTGCTCAAAGATCCGATAGATCCGGTTCGTCTTGGTGAGGAGGGCCGCGTAACTGATGCACATGCCGAGGCCCAGAAAGATCCTCCTGAAGGCGCATACGGCTATGTCAGGCTTGGCGATCATGAGGAAGGTGATGATGTAACAGAGAAAGATGCCAGTTAGCAGCACGTAGCTCAGTTCTCTGCCAGATGCCCGCACTATAGGGGTGTCATTGTAACGCACAAATGTTGCCATTACAAAGATGGTGGCAATGATACCGAGCATGGCAAGAAAGACGGGGATTACTGCCCAAGGAGAGTGCCACTCCAGCTTTATGATGGGGATGTGCTGGCATGCCGTTCTGTTGGAATTGGGCCTCATGTTGTACGCACATAATCTACAGGAAGTCTCATCATACTGGTATTGGTAGCCGTCACATAGCTCACAGATCCAGCAGCATGGCATGCCCTTCACTTTCTTCTTTCTCTCACCAGTTTTGCAAGGCAGACTGCACACAGAGATGGGCACCTCCTGCTCCCCATCTGGCCACTGAAGCTCTTCCAGCTGGGAGAGATGTGACACAGGAAGATGAGTTAGTGACTGTGAGAGATGTAAGAAATTACAAAAAAAAACTTTCAGGACACACAGCATCGATATGCAGCTCAAATGCATCACATTTACCTCCCACAGCTGAGAGAAAGGATTAATACAGTACAAGATCGTTCCTGCCAATTTATTCAGGGGATTGCCTTTTCTAATACTTGAAAGTAATTGAAATCACCATAGCAACAGAGAATACCTTTGTTCAGTGAAGTAAAAATAAATGTGAAATGCAAAAGACATTAGGTTTTAATACAAGACCCGGTGAGGTATGAAATACGTGACAAGGAGAAAGAATGGGATTCAGTTTTGTAAAATACAGCCGTTCGACTATGCTGACCCATTTCTATTTATAATCTTGTCAAGAAAAGTGCAGTGCACCCTAGCACCTAGGCACTGTCAAAAAGTCTTAAATACAAACGTCTTGAGGTGCTTTATGATTTAAGCTCATACTATAGTTTGAACATGTAAGTCAAACTGAAAAAAAATCACAGAGAGGTGGATTTACATATTTTGTTAGGTTTTAAAAAATTCATACCACTCTGAGCATATCTTTTGATTTATTTTGAAAGTGCTCTGAACTTTGGCTTTAAAAGCAGAATAAGATGAAAGCTTCTCCAACTTAGCTTCACAGCATATCAGAACATTAAGAGAATGAAAAAAGTCAAACATCAACAGTTAGACATATGATACTACAATAAATAGCTTGATCTCCTGCACTGAGAAGACCTGTTTACATTTGACATCAGAATGCTTCTTGTGACCCCTAGATTCATTTAAACTCTGTTTAAATGTGATAAAAATACCTAGAATACCGCGAAACAGCCATAATTCTCAGTACTGTGGTACAAGTACCCTCAGTGGTACTTGGGCTGCCTTTAGTTGTACTTGATGTCTGGTATCAGTTCAATTTATGAAAGCAAATACTATGAAAAAAAAGCTGAAAAGCAGCAACAGCCAAAAAAAGCTAACAGCACATTCATTGTTTAAAATGAATGAGGAAAGAGTGCTACAGGACATCTATGGTATATCTAAACACTATGAGATGATTGAACTAAAGGAAGTTTTGCAGTACTGTTTGTGAAAGTTATAATGAGAAATGATTCATCTGTTCATCAGTTTTCTCTGGCTGTAGGTAAGAGTTAAGGTGTAAAAATCCTGCTGACATGGCGTGACTGGAACTTTTTTATGTACTGATGTGGTACTCATGCTGCAATTCATTATTTTTTTTATCAGTGCTCACCTCAATTGAGGATCATTCTGAATAAAGCAATGAATAAATAAATAAAAACTTTTTTCAACATGTGCAGAACCATCTTTATAAACACTTAAGATATGAAATAGAACACATAAAGTAAAACTATCCTAATAATTCTATATGGAAGCCATGTAGGCTGACTGTCATAATTAAAAACATATGGCTGTAGTCCTGCATTAATGGGACTAGAAGAAAATAAATGCTTATCCTACTCTCAATAATTCAATAATTCTATATCAGTGCTTTTATATAGAGATACTACTCCATTTAAAAATCAGGTTTCGGGACAGATAATACAGGCTTTTGCCAAACTAAAAACAACTTTCTCTCTATACTATATGATTAAATGCTAAATGTTTGCAACTAATATATATCAGAGCTATCCGTGCCATTGCTTTAATGAGATACAAAACATCAGTTCTAATAAATAGTTAAAACCTAAATAGGTTCTATATGTGATGCAGCCATACTGGAGACTCCCAGAGGGAATATCTGACTTTTTAATGTACCGATGTTGTTTTTAAAACTGGAATCAAGGATAATCTAATTTCAGAGTATAAACAGGACATAGTAAATCTAAATTTGACAAAATAGAGGGCAAATTTGTTCAAAATTAAGTCATGTCCATCTGTACAAAGTCCATCTGTTTCTTCTTGAAAGATTTTTACAACCACATATAAATTGGGATTAAGGGTGTAGAATCTATAATCATCTGCTTTGGTCAGGAAGTTGTGCGTAAGCATTTTGTGTATTTCTGTCACATTTTTGAACCTATTCTCTTAAAATACTAATCTGTCTAGGTTGCACTCCGCCTTTTGCCCATAGACTGCTGGAGATAAGCACCAGCTCCCAGTAACCCTGATGAACAAGCAGTAGTGGATGGAGGGATGGATGGATGGATGGATGGATGCATAGATGGATGAAGGGATAAAACATTTTAAACAACAAAAATAAACAACTTTTCAACATTTAAATAAAGGTAGCATAAAAACAGCAATTTAGGGAAAAGCTTGATTGACTCTAAGAGTTTCAAATCTGCCTGAAAATAATTGATTCAGCTTCTCTGCACTTAGGATGTCAGAATTTAAGAAGACTCTAAAATCCTTGCTGCCCATCAGCATTTAATAAATGAATAAAAAAAGTGGCAGGTTGGTGTTTAGAAACTGTGTTAAGTGTTTTAAGTGCACTGCCCTTTTTTTTTGTTAGGAGTATGTTTGTATAAAAACTAAAATGCCAATAGATAGTTGGAATAAAACCAAATAGATCAAAAAGTACAAGTGTAGCATCGTTTAGCCAAGTTTTAGATATATGATTCATTTAAACAGTGTGGTGGGAAAAAATCGATCTCCTATGAATTCGCTTATACATATATGGATTTATTAGTGCTGAGTTTCATTCATTCAAGCCTCAGAGCTGCAATGCCACAAAGTGTCTAATTGAGAGATGTTTTTTAACTTATTAGGGAGAGTTTAGGATAAAAAGATAATATTCCCACAAAAAGCCAGACAGTTTCTCAGGGATTATTAATTCATAACATTATGTGTTATTTCCAAACTGTCTGTCCTCATTTTGGTAAAGATATGTGGAGACCTACAGAGCCTTTCTGCAGGGTTAATTAGTGAGAGAGAAACACTGTCTAGGCAGAACAGGCCTGAACATTATACGGTGAGGGCGGCTGATGTCTTGTTCTCTTTTTACTTTGCATAATAAAATAAAATGCCAACCAAGTGAAATCCATCGATCTCTGATTATTTAACTGGACTGTATAGCTGAATGCCTTTTTTCCCCCACAACAACACTTAAACTGTAAAAATGACAGGCTACTGTATGTCCAAAGTTATAGAAACTTTTGTGCCCCTAAAAACTCTCTCTCTATTTTTCTTTGCACATAATAAGTTCAAATGCAAACCTCATGAAGACCTAAAGATATGTAAATTAGAACAGCATCATCTTTTGTATTTTGTTTACTAGTAATCTGCTGCACCAAATACTGGCATGCCATCCGTAACGAGTAGTGGGGCAGTGTTTTCAGTAATAAATTATGATTTATGCTGAAGAATTCCAACTCCTCTCTTTAAAAAACCCAACAACTAAAAAACAAAACAAACAAACAAAAAATCTAATCATAATGTATTTAAGTTCATACTCCATAATATATGCAGCTCAATGTCCCAGTGATACTGTAGATAAAATTGTGTTTTTTGTACCTTCAAGTAGAATATACTAATTCTACATCTTCCTTTAAAAGATTAATTATCTGATTTCCCTAGCTAGACCTATAACATATATTAAGAAATTAATTTAAATTGAAATCTGTTTTTTCCCATACAAAATGAGCTGAGAGCAAACCTTATTAACACTGACTTCTAAAGCTTTAAGAACTTTTTTTGCAAATTTGGTTTTAACTTCAAACTCAGCATGAAAAATACTTTGTTTAGTGTGGAGTTATAAATTGACTCATGGTGGATAATAGGAAGACATTACTTGCAGATTAAAACAGCAAATTAGTTTTGTTATCTGCTACAAATTAATTGACGAAGCAGCTCGAAAGTGTTCCAAATGGAGAAGTAGGATCTGTATTTTAACAAAAGGAGACAAAAACTCTAACCATTATGTGGTTTGAGTAAGATAATCCAGCTTCAAGTGTTCGACTACAGTTAGCTGACTAATTTTTAGAGTGATTTTAGCTACAAAGGAAGTAACATACAACAGGTCTCCTTATCTCTCACTTTTTAATTTAATTTGATTTAAGCAATGCAAAAACACAGCATGATATTATTTCTCATCTATGACTTGTTCACCTCTAAAATATTTATTGGGGAAATTAACAGACAAAACGAAGACAGTCACTATAAAATGAAACATATTTCCAGCTAGGTGACAGAATGCCTCCTCCATATGTGCCCAATGATTACCGTTACTGACATCACCTATGTACTGTAGCACTCACATCTGCAGCGTGTTTGTGATGTGTGTCTGTGTGACGAATGTGTTATTCCTGAGCTGTCAAGATAGATTATCAGCTGTCATTTATCAGAGGCTATGAAGGTGCCATTTGTTATGTGGACAATGAATGGTGGTGTGTAGGAAAGCCTCCTGAACGCACACAATGTGGAAACAGTAATGAGACCAGCAGCTCAGTTGCCAAGGAGACAGGAAACAAGGTTTTATTTGACATCTTGAACCCTGGAGTTTTCTTTTGAGTTTTGCTTTAGTTATTAATTTTACAAATAATTGGAGCTTCTGTGAGCAGAAAAACATGAATACCCTGACCTCTGAGCCCATAATTCAATGATTGTTTCTATTGCTGGAGACATGTTTCAATTAGATATGTAGCTACATGTGCTTATTTACATGATAATACATTGTCCAACCAACCACAAACAGATATAAGGTTATGGGATGATTTTGGATTGGTTGTTTCCCTTTATGAATAAAGCTATCATTAAAGATGTTGTTCTTGTTTTTATCTATTATTAGAGTCTTATATAGACTCTTTATTATTAATCTGATTATCAGAGATATTTAAGTATAGCAAAAAAGGCAAAAAACAGTCGCTATTGATGTATTCTTCTGAGATAACAAGTTACACTTATATATCTAAGAATTTTAACATAATTTACTCTGAAAAAATACAATTATTTATACAATACCCAAATAAATTATTTGAGATGGATTTTGTTGTTGTGATACCCTATCATGTTTTAACCTAAAAATTCCATTCCCTGCTCTAATTTGATATAAATATATACGGTACATATATATATATATATATATATATATATATATATATATATATATATATATATATATATATATATATATATATATATTTTTTTTTTTAATTGGTCAAACAAATTTACTCTTTAAGATTACATGGGATTGAAAACACTTTTTGGTCAAGGATGCAAACAATATTACAAATACAGTTTTATTTTTTTATATCATTGCTTAAGTTTCCAAATATTTTTTCTTAGCCTTGTAGTTTAATTCCATCTAACAGAATATTAATTAGAATTATAGAATCCATTTTCAGAGGCATGAAGCAGAGGAGATCTGTGCACCGTACTAGGTTTCAATTTCCAGCAGCAATATCTTCAGTAACTCTCCTGCCAAATAAATGAACATATATGGACTGACACCTAAGCTGAAAATGAGCCCTTTCATTTTCCTTCCACTCTTTGCTGTCAGTTTTTTGACAGAGGCAGTGTAAACATAATGAAACTTTCCTCTCACTGTTCTCCTACTTTCCGTGTCAATCCTTCCAATCAAGACCCTTCTGAGAAGGTCTCGGCCAAGCGTTCCTTTTCCTGGCCGAAGCGCGTCAGAACTTTTATATAACAGGCTATATGTAACCGGCTGAAATCCTTTTATCCCTTTCACACATTAATTTTGAAATGTTCAAGTTTCACATCATGCTTCTTTTCCCTCTCCCTTTTTTTTCTTAAAAGCTGTAGATAACATTAAAATTGAATTAGGTGTAGAAACATTTTCTTTTAAAGCTGGCTTCTGCAGGACTTTGCCTTTGGCAAATTCCAAGACACCATATGAACTACTGGAAAAGATTTCTGTTAATCTATCTGGATTCATACATGGCAAAAAACAAAAACAACCAAAAAAACATAGCTCCAAAAACTGTACGCTTATCAATTGGCTGGGTAAATTTTTAAGTCTATTGTCTCAAATGGTTATGTCATTCTCTCTTGTTGACTTACACATTTTCTGCATATAAGAACACACAGAGTGTGAAATGCAAAAAATATACATGTACTGTCACACAGGGGGCTTTACTTTTAGGAAAATATATAAAATACTATATGTGGTGCATGTGCAATATATACTGTAAGTATGTGTCCTGGTAAAATACAATGGTTAGTCAGCATACCCTGAGCTGAAGGGTGTCCGCCCACTGTCCCACCACCTTGTACTCTGGGCCAGAGGAGTTGGTCAACTGGAACTGGAACAGGTCATAGCGCCCTGGAGCATCGCCATTCTTGTTAAATACAACAGATGTGCTGGCGCTACCTGTGCAGGACAAGAGGGAGAATACAGCTATATAAATCAAATGAAAAAGAAAATCCGATTCAAAGGTGAGAAGGATACTGTACTTTTTTCCACAGGACAAAAACAAGATTCGTTGACATTTTTATTTAGATTACAAGGTGACCTAAAGAAACTGTTTCCTATAACTGCAGGACCTGCTTTTGAAACATTCATGAAAACAGATGAGAGGAGTTGCAGGCTAGTGTTCTATAAAAAAAAAAAAGATACATTTTCCTTTTTGTTTCTGCTGAACAATGACTTCTGAAAAACGTTTTCCTGTTCATAATATAGTTAAATCATTTCCGTAAGGTTTGCACATGCAATACATCAACTTCCCTAAGTTTTTGAGGATAAAAAAACAGCGTATAAAATCATAAAAATTAAACGCTTCATCTAAAAATATTTATATGGAAAAACACCCAAACACAGTGACACATAAGGGATTTAAATAAATCTAAATTACCAATAGTATAATAATTAGCATTACTAACAATTAGCATGGAATAGAAGTAACAAAATGAAGTCTATAAAATATCCACTTTAGATTGATATTTTAAAGTGTTATGGAACTTTATTTAATAACCAGCCTCTGCCTGTAAAATTGATAAAACATGAACTACAATATAATTTGTTTTAGCCAGTCTTTAGACTGGGAAAGACTGCAGAACATGTTGCTGGTCATGATAAATTTATGCAGAGCAACGAGATGATTTTTATATGATTTTAATATGAAGTTTAATTTGCTGTTATGCATTGTGGGGATAATGATAATGGATGAAAACATCACCAGAACTCGCTGTTTAAGAACTGCAGCAATTAAAACTTAATTTGTTTCAGGGTTGTTGTTTTTTTTATGTCTTTACTAGTAATGTCCTTGAAGTGTAGAAACTGTGTAAGATACTTACAACTGTATTTGTGACCAGCTATCTCAATTTGTGTGGTTTAAACCGTTTTTTCCCATCTCACCAACTGAGACAATTACCCACATTTATGTAAGGATTGCATGATAGACAACTTTTGATGTTTTTCATACACGACTGAAGGTATTGGTAAAAGCCCTTATATTAGCTGCTAGCTTTGCTGTCAGTTTACATAGAACTACATCAGTTTAGATGAGGATTCAAAAACTTCCTCTTGTATGAGGACAGATATCAGATATGACTGGGTTCTAACATGTATTTTAAAATGTATTACATTTCTCACTACACCACCGTATAAAGTAAATTTAAACCTCTTTTTTACGGCTTTGCATTTCAGTCTGGATTTTAGTCTCTGGTCACCAACAGGAGATATTGGGAGGGTAAGCAGGTCAGCCAAGGCATCATATGGTCCCCATCTGCTCATGGTGCGCACTGCCCTTTTCTTCAGCCAAGTCCAGAACATTTTTCTAATTAGTTTAAAGACGACTACGGATACCTGAAATGTAATCCATGTTAAAAAAAAAAAGGTTTAATTTCATTATTTGGAAACACAAACCTACCCAGTTGAGTCTGTCTTTGGCATGTGCTGATTATTCAAATGCTGTATTAAACCTTAATCACATGCCCGAGTGTGCATGTGATGTCATGCAATCTCAGATGTGTCGTTTACAAGAAGGTCAACCTTTCAGCAGACTGGTGTTGAATGGCATCAATGGAAATATGGTTAAACTGTATTTTATAATTAAGATCTGTTTTGCTGATAATGTCATTCTATCTTTTCCATACCACAGTGAAAATAAAAATAAAACTGTTCATCTATGCTCCACATACACATTCAAAATGGAAACACCATCTTTTAAGTAGGGCAGTATATTCTAATGACTCTTGGCATGGGAATTAGGTACTTTTAATAGCTCTGTCTATAAAAAAAAGTGTAGAGAATTGACTACAAGCATATGTCCAAAACACTTTGGGAACACGTTGTTTTTTTTGTTTTTTTTCTGGAACAGAGCGTTTGGCTTTCGGACAGAAGGTTAATGCACCTTGCCCTTCTTTTTAATATATTTTTTTTGCTCAAGGACATTTTACCACTGGATATTTAACACTCCTCTTAGACCTAAAGCCTAAAGCCACAAAAGGCAATGATAGTAAGGAGTTGTGGCAATTTCTAAAAGAAAATCAGATGCCAAACAAAATGTCACAACAAATTACCACTGCTCACAATTTGGGTGTCAGGTCCTTCACCCAAATTTGAATTGGTGACATCTTTTAAGTGCCTATTTCCATGTTTATTCAGAGCCACCAATCACATAGTATCTGCTGTTATGTAAGATGACAGCTTATTCTGTATGTTCTACATCAGCATTACAGTTACCGCACCATCTGACCCATTTACTTAAGGTGGAACACCAATTTACAAGTATCAATGTGTCAGCACAGAAAATTAATCTCGACTGAACTGGTGATACCAGCTCTGAAAGCTGTTGATATAAAAGCCAAGGTAAAACTCTCAGGGTGGCAGTCAACATCCTGTCATTTCAGCTTCAAGCATGTAGACAGAAGACTTGTTGACACGCTGTATAAAGATGTTGACAAAGTATTGACTTCTGTAAGGAAAAGCGGAGCCAAGGTTGCCATTCTTACTACTTTCCTCAGCAGAATTCTTCATTGAGCACAAATGCACTCCGTTACCCAGCTGAGCACCACGGTTGATTGGACACCAGGTGCTCCCCAGGTTTAGAGCAAATAATTAGGTTGTGTTTCTCTGTGTGCACATGTAAAAAAGACAGAAAAAAAATCTGTTTTGTATTAGCTGATTTTTTTTTAGAGGAACAAAATGCTCTTTACATACTTTCTAGCCAAAGCACTGTCTAAGATGAAAGATTTATGCATTTGAATGCGGCTGTGAACTAAGACATGACAAAAGTGCACTACTGCTGAGCTGTGCTAAGCAGCGTGGGTGGACCAGGGATCCACTGCTGTGTTTTTTCTCGCATCATTATTCTTTTCTCTTTTTTTTGTTTCTCTGCCTCTCACTCCTCAGCTCTGTGACTCCAGCACAGTGGGGAGATTAGCTAAGGAGGTTTATACTCCTTCGCTCTCAAACATACATTAGCAGCAGCACATACACATTATAATGCACATGGTTCCTGTCTAAATTCAATAATGACCACCAAGAGACGCTTGATGGAGCACCACCAGAGTAAAAAGGTTTGAGGGTTTAACATCAAGAAAGTGAGAGAGTTACAGAAAGCTTATTTTGGAAGAGGTGAAACAAAGTTGCCGTTGTGGCACCAGAGAAACCAGAGAAGTCCAGATGGTTACTGACACTGGGCAATTAACTCTAAATTCAATATATGAAACAGCACTTAGCTAAGGGCTCAAATAAAATATGGCCTCACATAGAAAACTGTTTGGTTCCATCTTAAAATAGGTCTTCTTACCTGTTGGAAATCTGTACTGCTGCCATAGCGACCATCCTACAGAAAACCAAGCAGCTCTTTGAGCTTTGGTTAGAGCTATTTGTCGTGTGTATCTGTATGATGTACTTTACACTTTAAGTAACTATTTTGCTTTGATCATATCATTCGTAAAAAAGAAATTTGGATAAAGATGTTGATAAATGTGGAGCAATGTATAAAACATACAGAGTGGGTGCTGATATATTGAAAGACGTTATTGGAGCATATAATTAGAGTCATGTATTTACAAGTTTTCTCATCTTCACTGTGCCTCAGTGTGTGTACTCCTGCCCTAATATATACCAGCCTGACACCGTAAATATGTAACCTGCTGGACCAGATGGTCTGCTACACAGAACCATCTGGGAAGTCGTCATTGGTGAGCATTTGGAAAGCTGGAAGCCACTTTGGAAAAAGAAACCAAAAAAATAAAAAAATAAAACTGACTGTAGCATCCATCACAGGCTGCACCAGTTTAACTGAGCCGGTTAGTCAAAGCAGACTGTTTTGGAAGCTGCTGGGAAAAGATTTATAACACAGAGAAAAGCCTCATTGTTGTACTTCTCTTGCACCGCATTCCTCAAAACTAGCATGATAAACCAGCTGCCACAAAATGTTTGGAAATTTGCATCAAATTACCATGCCATTAATAATCTGCAACTCATAAACATTGCATTATACAGTCATGGAAAAAGAATTACAAGCAAAACTTTATTTTCTCTAATTTTATGTCGTAAAGGTAAGTTCCTAAAGAAGACTATGAACACACACACAGACACACACACCCACACACACACAGACACCCACACTCACAACCAAATTAAAATGCAAACAAATTGCATTATATTTAGCTATATTCAGATCTACTCATGCAAGTGAATTGTTCTTTAACTTTTTTGGAATTATTTCAAATAATTCAATCCCATAGAAATGTATGTGTTGCCCGTTGAAAAGCACAATGAAGTGGCACAAACAAACAGAAAACGATTAGCCCACACTGAAAAATAAATACATACAGTATATTTTTCCATTAGACTGGTTTAAATATTTTTTGTCTACTATTTAAGCAGTGCTTTTTGAATAATAAAAAATAATCCTTGCCAGTATTTTTTTATCAATCAGAAAGTACAGATGGTTAAAAAAAAATGACTACACATATAAGATCCAATAATGTGCAAAGCCATTTATTAATCAATAGATATTTCATCAGACAATTGGACTTTTCTCACACTGTTGTTTGTTAACCTGTAGTTTATATGGTAATGGAAGGCATGATGCCAAGGAAAATAATCCTTCTTACACATTTAACAGTTTAGCGTACACAATTTAATCATCACATAACCAGCGTGCCTTTTCCAGATGTCGGAAAATGTTTTCCACGTGAGTGCACCAGCTTTCACACAAGATATATAAAGAAATAAACACAATTATGTGTCAAATATCTCAGCAATGAACCAAGATTAAGGTCACTCAATCTTATTTTACTCTATACACAATCTTTGATCACCTTAGACGCATAATTTTCGAAACTTGATTATTCAAGCTAATAATGATTTGATTACTTGTGGGGAACCATAAGGTTTATAAATGTTATTTCAAC